TCCGAAAGCGCAGCAGTCTGATCTGAGTTGCGGGCGCCCAGCAGCATGATGTAGCGCCCTCCCGTCGCATTCACGGAGGCGTTGAGGAGGTCGACGCCTTCCCAGGTCTCCTCCAAGGCTGACAAGCCACCGCGGCCAAACTTCACGGCCATGTCGGTCACCAGCACCGTGACGTTGGACGCTGCCTTCGTCAGGACACCTCCCGCGTCGGCAATGTCCTCGGAGAGGCTGATGACGGCGCCCACCCCCTTGGCCAGCGTGGGCGAGAAGCTCGGCGGGCTGATCCACAGCGCCAGCAACAGCACGGCGCCCGGCGACAGCCACCAGGCGCGGCCCACGCTGAACAGGCCTGCCAGGCCCTTCCGCCACGGCGAGGGGCGCGGCCGCCTCGGTTGGGGCGGCGGCGGCGCGGCCACAGGCGGTCCCTCGGCTTCGGAGCTGGCCGCGAACGGGTTAAGGACCCCGCTGGGCGGCGTGCTCCAAGGCGAGGGAACTGCCACCTGCCCAAACGGCGTGCCCACCAGCGACCACGAAGACGGTGGTGACAAACCTGCTGGCAACGTAGAAGCAGGTGAAGCTGACTTAGCTCCCGGCGACTTCGGGCCGCCTGGAGCAGGTGAAGCCGTACGCGAGCTCCTCGAAACTCTTCGCTGAGGCCGGCGGCGTATACACACCGCCCGCAAACGTGCTGCCTACTTGCGGCGCCATGCTCAGCGGTAGGGAGGCCGTAGGAGGTCGTGTCGTACGTAGTGTTTCCAGCCCCCAGCCGCCCAGCGCAACTGCTTCTCGTGCCCCGCGGTGAGGAGGTCCGTCAGCACCGCGTTGGCTGACTGGACGTCCAGGTAGATCCTGAGGCTCGAGTCGCTCACCCAGCGGCCGCCCTCGCGGATCTCGGCGAACGGGACGCCCTCGGCGCGGGAGTCGGTAGCCCAGCCAGCGCGCGGGCTGCGCGGGCCCCAGCCCACAGTAAGCCCCAGCGCCGCTTCGGCTGTCTTGAGCAACGTGCGGTATTGTGTGATGCTGCAAGGGAAGAGAGGCTGATCGTGAGGGGTCTGCTGCACACAACTCCAAAGGGCCTCGATGATGTCGGAATGAACTCCTGGGAGCATGGCCACTTGGGGCCGCTGCGCTTTCGTACCGAAACGGACCCCCAAGGCCAGGACCACTGGATCACACTTTCCGTCGATAGCACGATGGTGAGGAAAGGAAACGCGTTGTGGGCGCAGGCCGAGCATCTCCGACGGTCTGAGTCCAGTATGGCACTGCAGTACAAGCCCTAGGCCGAGCCTCACGTGGCCTGCGGACGCCAAGTAGATGCACAGGAGCTTCCCTGGCGCCTTACCCAGCGGGACAGTGTGCTTGATAACTCGCGACCTCTCCCAGCCTCGTAGCACCGCATGTGCCCACTTCAGCTCGCCTTTCATTCGAGGGAAAAACAGTTCCACCGCCGCCAGTAGATTGCAAAACTTGGACGGTGTCAGCAAGGACTCACATGCATTCTTGCACTCCACCAGCGCGTCGCCCCACTGGTCCGGGCCGACGGGGTTGAGGTGGTTGGCGAGGGCCCACTCCGAGAAGCTGCGCGCCTCACGCCTGTACGTCTCGATCGTCTGCGGCTTGACTCGTGCCGCTTGGTGGTGGTCTAGGCGCCGCGGCCCACGCCACCTCATTTGCGTCGCGACAGCCAATCTGCTGCCTGGTGCTTGGTGTCCACCCAGGGCAGCACGAACATGATACCTGTAGCTAAACATAGAGCAGCTCGTCGACGTAGAAGGAGGTTGAGTCCAGCAGCTGACGAGCGGCCCTTGGCCATGGCCGCGGAGAGGCCCTCGTTGTCCTCCAGGTTGGCGACCAAGTAGCCGTGCGCCCCTGGGGCGCGGCTGAGCGCTGCGAGCAGCTTGAGCGCTGCCCTGCCTTTGCCCAGCGTTATGTGGTCTGGGCGTTGCCATCGCCCTGATCCCAGCTCAGTCCATTCGCATTCAGGCTTCTCAAGCAGGCTCCGCGGCACCTTGGAGACGGCGATGCGATTCGCTATCTCCTTGTCCGCCCTGTTGAGGTGGCCGACCCCGCCGTCGAGCCGCGCAACAGCGTGGCCCGGCCGCGTGCCAGCTGCCACCAGGTCCTCTCGCACGATGATGCTCGCGGCGGCCCCGACGATCCCGCAGCCGCCGAAGTCGTCCTCGTTCGGGCCCTCGGCGTCGGAAGAAAAGACCAGCGGCGCCACCGGAGCGTTGAGCACGCATTCCATCGACAGCACCAGGTGCGCCATGGCCTCCAGCTCTCGCCGAGCCGAGGGCCACCAACTGATGACCTGGTTGGCGTGCTTCTCGATCATGCTGAAGATCGCGCGCGGGACGGACATCAGCTCCCGCTTCAAGAGGGCGCCCCACAGCCAGGCGCCTACGACCGCTCTCAGTAGCTCCACGTCGATCCAGTCGACCTCCAGCAGCCACAGGCAGCTCTAGCGCAGCAGCCAGCCATTGTGCGGGTCGAAACGTAG